AGATTTAAAAAAATACACCAAACCATTAGAAGCGTAATTAGCGTATCCGGAGTACACTCCTAATAAAGTTTGCCCTAAAATTATTATTTTTTGCGCAAAGGACGAAACATTTGAACCGAAACTAAAAATTTACTCGTCCATATAACATGACACCAGTAATTCGATGGCTCTATTAATTAGTAATAACACTATAACAGTAGTAATGTTTATTAGTAATAAGCCCTGTTATGTTATTAATTTCCTATCCTGTTCAATGAATGATAAAAGCGAGCAATCAATCCTATTGTAATGTTAGCCGATGAATAATTCATGAACGTCGTTATTTGATAGAGAAGAAACTGACATTGTAATTGGCAAGGCATTCAGTGGTCCTGGAGTAGAGTATACGTGAATAAGTATAACAACTATAAAATTTGTATGACAATTCCTTATGATGTTTCCATAGGACTTATTTCGTTTTCCAGCTCCTGCTTGTGTTTTTGCTGCTCATCAGGAGCGGCAAATACGTAAATATTTCAGATCTCGCACGGTGAGAATTAAGAGGGCCTTCCCAGGGAGAATACACCATATTCATGATTAGCAACTTATTTTCTCACTAAAGTGAGAGAAATTGAAGTGAAAGGTGGATTTTAATCAGGCTTAGAATATCATATGATGGGTGAAACGTTGCTTGAGTGACAAATTTATGCATGGCCTTATCCATCAGCAGGACGCATGGATCAAGTTAAATCTTTCCTGCATGTAGTATTTCTGATGATAACAAGCATTGGTGCATTCGAATGTTGGCTGCTTGTCTGCTTTGGTGGTTCCCAGTCATGGTCGTTGTTGATTTCGTGGTTGATTTACTCGTATGTATTACCGTTTCAAGGGTTAGTGTTGTATATTAAGTTGGATTTCCATTCAGATAAGTTTTTTCTCGAAGTTCCTAGAAAATTTATATTTTAACAGTAATTTACAATCAAAATTCTTGAGCTTGATTAGTGGATGTTTTTTTTTTCCCCCGAGTAAATATTCCTTATGTTAACTGTGATGAGATGACTCACTTTACAGCGCCAAACTGAGAGCGCATTTGATAGCTCATTAATTACTGCTCGCAAATAATATGCATAATTATTGCAGATATTAATCCAAATAAATAGCATAGTGATTGTTCAGGATACATGTGCGGGCCATTTGTTGTCGATGGATTAAATCTCAAAATCATCTACACGATTTTGAAGAAGAATTTTACTATAAATCTAAAATTAATCTTTCCATGAAATTATTCGAATACTCCATCGTATCGAGGGAAATTCAGTCAGTAACATGTATGGATTTAAAATAGGTCATCTTAGTGGACGTATTTCGGCTCCAAAAGAATTGAGCGTTTAGTTGGTTAGTCGAGAATTTAATTAGATGCAAGTATATATATATATATATATTATAAGTATAATCGGAAAAATATATATAGTTTACTGTGTTTTTTTTTTAATTTGGGCAGTTTTCGCATGAAAGTGAAGTAGGATTCGTGTTACAGTTCTTTTTCCTACAGGATGAGTGTTTTAATGACTCACCGCACTACTTCTCCATCCATTCGCTGTTGCGAGATGCAATCGGTTGCAATCTCTTTGCCTGCGTTCAAAAATATTATCAAGATTATAGAGTCTTTGAAGACGATAAGTCCATATGGTGTGAGTGATTTAGATTAATAACCAAAATTACTCAGCACCTTATTATAAATTACTCATCACTTTTTTTGAGGAGTAACTAAATTATCATATGGCACGAATACACCTGCAATATAAGAGGTTGGACTAGACCGATTTGATCGTACCAAGCGGCCCATGGGCAGGGTGGCCCAGTGGTGGGCAGGGTGGCCCAGTGGTTGGGCAGGGTGGCCCAGTGGTTGGGCAGGGTGGCCCAGTGGTTAATGGGCAGGGTGGCCCAGTGGTTAATGGGCAGGGTGGCCCAGTGGTTAAAAGTTCAGAGTACTAGGATTGGAGCAGAGAGGCGCGGGTTCGATCCCAGCTCTGTGCGCCAGTTTCTGGTCAGAATCGGCGAGGAGGCCGGGCGGTTAATTATAATCGGAAAAATATATATAGTTTACTGTGTTTTTTTTTAATTTGGGCAGTTTTCGCATGAAAGTGAAGTAGGATTCGTGTTTCAGTTCTTTTTCCTACAGGATGAGTGTTTTAATTACTCTCACCGCCGCACTACTTATCCATCCATTCGTTTCTGCGAGATGCAATCGGTTGCAATCTCTTTGCCTGCGTTCAAAAATATTATCGAGATTATAGAGTCTTTGAAGACGATAAGTCCATATGGTGTGAGTGATTTAGATTAATAACCAAACTTACTCAGCAACTTATTATAAATTACTCTCATCACTTTTTTTGAAGAGTAACTAAATTATCATATGGCACGAATACACCTGCAATGTAAGAGGTTGGACTAGACCGATTCGATCGTACCAAGTAGATAGTGAAAGAAATTAAAAGGAGGAAATAGTCAAAATCATGTGGGCGAAATTCATTGGTAAATAACGAGGAAATATCCCTCGATGATGTATGGGTGAAACAGACATAGAAGTGCAATACCTTTCCAACTCGTAGCCGAAATGATTTGTTGCACTTGATATGGGGAAATTGACATCAAGTATTAATTTGAACACCCATGGAAAAAAATCCGTACAGTAGTTAATAAATTTCCATTACCTTCTAATGAATATTTAACGAATGATTCAATTAAGTAGATATTGATCAGCAGGATTCATGCCGGATTTCTCACCGTCAAGGTCTACGTCCTCAGGAATACTTTTTCTTCATTAATCCTCTTCAGGCTCAAATTTTTTCGCAGTTCAGAAACGGACTTGAAAACGTGCCGATGAATGGGAATGATGGTGGTGGTGACGTATGAAAATTGTTATAAGAATATTAAAATCTTTTGTTAAAAGCACATTAATCATTCGTAGTCATTTGCTCCTAGAAAACGTTTTTATTAGTTAAGTAAAGCATAAATGAGATAGTTAAATTAAGTTAAGCCATGATTAACTGGCTTACAATGCAGATGACCTAAAAGCCCTTCACCTCCACATCATCCATTGCGGCAGAAGAGAAGGTTGCACAGCCTTTTCCTCTACTCTAGGAATCCTTCTCATGTAGACATTTGAATCAGTTTGAATTAGAATTCAGATATGAATTTATTTTTCTCGGCAGAAACTCCATTGAAATGAAATAGCAATTTACAAGAACATGACGCACTGTTCCCGGCTCAAATTCCGTATAATTGAGGTAAAAAGGGAGAAGAAATCAGAACCTAATTTCAAGGCTTCGAATACAATTTTATGCAGAGTCTTCCTCATAATGTAGAGTTATGTCCATTATTCACTCTGATATAATTGTAATGTGTATATGGGCCGGCGAATATGGTTTGATTGTAGAGACTCAAATATTTTAGTTATAGCTACAAAAGACAGTTTTCTATGCAAAATTCTTAGAAAATGAAAAATATAGCGTGAGTTCAAACATTTTTGACAACGACGCACCCGCTTTCGCTCCGAGCCTCCGACGTTCTTAACTTCTCAACGTGACATTATTAGAGACATGGAAAGAAAAAGAATATGAAAGATTGTTTACATAGATTTAAACTATGATGAAATTATAAAGTTTGTCACGCAATCCGTGTATCGTTGGGTATCATACAATAATTAAACATGACTTAAAACTCGTCTGCACTCAGCGCCGTGCAACCGATGATTGAGGCTTTAGGAAGGATCATACTTTCAAAACTCGCTAAGTGAACGTAAGTACTTACGCTCCATTTTCTTGTCTATGATTGATGGATCTTGCTTGAAAGGCCGTCAATGGTTGGCTGATGAACTTACGATATATTAACTTTTTTTGAAAGAATAGGCCTAGGTCGGGATGCTTCACGGACGTAGCTCTCGAGAAATAAATGTGTGTTAACAACTTATAACAAGTTAGTTAAATGCTGCTATACTCTTCCATTGTTTTAACGAACCATTGCTTTTATAATACATTTATTATCCTGATAATAATATTAGATATTAAAAATAAGAAGCTTTCGTCGTTGTAATTGGTATGTGTGAGGATAAGAAATGGTTAATTACATTATAATAGTTCATTATAAATAGTTAATTAAAAACATAAAAACTGAAAAAAACATTAAATTTAAAATGATTGTATTGTCAATTAGCAGTACAAATTTGTGTCAAGAAATTAATTCTACCCAATATACCAAAAATCATATATAAGACAAGTATTTATTTGGAAGAGATCCCATTGCTCTTGGAACTAATCGTTGGGGCAAATGTTTACTGGACAATAATTGTTCGAGCTTTGAGAATACGTATCTAACATTAAATATTCGTGTTCACTAATAACTTTTTTATTTAAAATTTTTGCTGTTCTCAGTTCGATGGCGAGAGTTTTTTTAATTGATCTTGCCGTATACTTTTACTTTCTTCGAAAGTCATTGTTCGATTTCATTGATATTTCGATATGCATAAGATGAAACTACCTGCTTCTTCAATTCTATGCTGCAAATTCGACATCAAATATATTTGTTCACAATTTGGAAGATCAATTGAATCTCGCTACGAGAAAGAAAGACATAACTATATATTCCCGAAACGAATAAGTTAGTAAATGAAATGATCCTGCTGCGTACGTACTCATCAGTCGCCCTATATCATTTGATCGATGATATTTTTCCTCCTCTGAGAGCTGTTCCTCTCACAACCGTTTCTGTAGATCAGTTTCAAATTTCTTGTCAACTAATCAAATATTTAATCGTCCATTTATCAAATCGCTGAAAATTTTTAGCCATTGTCAAGATTATTCAATTGTCTTCACCATCATTGATTGAGACAATTATGTCACCCCCACATCCTCCCGAAAAAGGGATGAGTCCCCCCCAGCAATGGCATCACTGCTCCATTCGTTTACCTGCGGTCGGAACCGTAGCGGCTTTCGCCCTCACCTCAGTCGTGGTTAGGCTGTTGTCAGTGCAGCGTGTGCGTCGCGCAGTCTCATCTGCCTCACTTCCCTGGGTCGTACCGCTTTTTCGGTGAGTATATCCTCAGAGTGAGTCCATGATATGATAGGAATTTTATTTCTTCTTGTCCGAAATGTCAGCGGACAAAAAGGAGGTATTAAATCAGTTCTGTATCACTGTCCTGATGCAAGTTCCGTAACTAATAATGGAATGATCACCGTTTAAATGACATGAGTAATCTATAGAGATATTCTTACTTAATTTCGAATATCATTTTACTGAGTATTTATATGTGATTAAATATTTTGTCTTTTTTCACCCACTAAGCCACTCTCTTTTTCTTCATGCTACTTACATGCGTACGTACTTCACTCGGTTTTGTGCTGCGAGGTTTTACTGTTTTATTTGGAAAGTGTGATTATGTCTTCAAACTGACATTCCACGACGCTTCATTACTATTTTCATGAGGTTTACTCAGGTTAGTTTCGTACTGATTGGAAACTCTGAAGGTGGATCTGTTTTTCTACGAATTCGTTGTATTTCTATTTGTAACGAAATTCTTACGATGGACGCAGTATGTTATCCACTGTATTTTTCCCCTTTTATTCAGCGAGCTTTCATTGGTTGAAATTCACAAAATTTTGTGAAGATTCTAATGTTTAAATGTTCAGATCATCATGTCATTCAAAGAGAAAAACTGGTGAAAAAATATGTGTTGGTGTCAAAAAGGGAGACTTTTACGTCGGAATCAATGTGTTTTTTCGTATGCACAACTCATACGTACTAATGAAAATTACGGATAGCACAGAAAAAATCATAAGAACAGAAAAAGTCAGAAGAATCATACAGTACAGAAAAAATCATACTACAATTTCATTTTGAAATTATAACTGCTGCAACATTCTTTGACATCGACTTTATTTGTTCATTCTTAATCTTAACAATAGATTAAGAGTTTGCCTCCATAAGTTGACATATGATAAACCATTCATTTCTTCGTTAACGGATAAGGTTTGACGCTGGATTAGTCAAAATTCTTTCAGCGTTATCAATGCTTTCTTACCTGATAACCTTCATCACCTCGCTAAGTGCTGCTTAAAATTACCATTTAGAAAGCTAAAAGATTGCCTCAAAGTCATGAAAGGAAACCAACCATGCACTCTTTCTTTTTAAATGGCAATCATATTTTATTTTATTAAACTCTACCAAAGTCATGGTTTTAATATCTGTGGAATTTTCGTTAAGGGAATCTATATTTTTTGACTAATTTAGTTCCGGCTGAAGCCGTTCGTTGGATGACATGCAGGTGAATTTGTTTAAGTAACCTCTGTGCCTTATTCGTTTTAGCGTGTACTACGTTATGCAATATACAAATTCAAAAGCCTTATGTAAGTTTATAAAAGTTTATTTGTGTTTTTGAAACCTGGCACAGCAAATAGCGACAGTACAGACGTGTTCCCAAAATACTGAAATGACGGAATTTGGCATCAAAGGTTGGAAAATTGAAGGAATCACCGATCCCAGGCAACGCCGGCCTAACCAGCAATTGTTATAAAAACACGGAAATATATCAGTATTTCTTGGTTTAGTTACTAACTGTTACTGATTTATATGCAGAAAAACATTCCAGCAAAAATTTTCATATTGTGGAAGTTTTTTTTATTTAAATTTATACAATTGTTACCGACTGGGGATACTGAATCTTAGTGGCACCTCGGTTCATCTTCTCCTTCAACTTCACCGAAGGCTTGGTTGCCCTTAAAAGTCAAGGTACCCGAGAAATATTATTTGAAGAATCATAGGCCGTTATTTGAGGTTTTAAAGTATTTCCTTACAGGCTCACGGCGAGTCGTTATAGTGGGTGGCAAGTCACGCTGTGCATGTTTTCTGCACATGGCAAGTCGCCTTTGTCCAGACGATGTGATCTATAGTCACTTCGCTTGTGGGGGAATTTTTCGATCGTGTGTGCATCGACGATTATCGCTCACTTAGAGCCCCCCAATCACTGAAGGACATGAAACTATACCTTTTAATAGAGTAGGCTGGGAGGTACATAAGTTTTTTATTAGCATCAGTGCATGAAATTATTTCAAGTCAAATGAATCATATTTATTTTCACTCATAACTAACCAAACAAACTGAAAGGTTATAAAAATGTTGTTCAGCTCCGCAAAAGCAATTCACAAAGGCTAGGTTGATGTCTCCGTGACAATAGTCTACGACATATTGAAATATTGCGTCTTCATTGCCTGCCTCCATAAGGCGAGCATCTCGACATGTTTGGTCGCATAGCATGTGGACTTGAATATACTGTAGGAGGCCTGCATGGCAAGTGTGCTATTTTAATGCACCACTCGAGCGCTGGCAGTTAAATTAACTGCCGTAAAACTGATAAGTCGCCAACACTAATGATTCTATTCACATGCCGACCAGTCGACGGTATCTGGGGCTGTGTAAATTCGAGCTCGAATTAATTAAAGAGTTAAATGGGTATTACGAAAACGAAGGACAAATCTGAATGTTTATGTTAAAATAAAAAGTAATGCAGAATTTGTAATGTTATTGGAACACATTGTGCGTAAAATATGTTCTTGAAATAATTGAAAACTTTAATAAACCCTGCAATTATCATGAGATAACGTTTTCGAGCATACATCAATTGCATTTAGTGGTGTCAGCTGCATTTTGTTCTATTCATACAAAAACGACTGATCGTATATTAGCGCCAGCACAAGTAAGTGCTAACTATATCTGTCATCGCTTACTGGGTCACTAACATAGTTTTAACCTAGGCACCACAATAATTAAACCTCTAAATAACTATGCTTTTATCCGAGACTAATAACGTCACCATTGTCAGCCATCAGTTTTACTGCGGCGTGATTCGCATTGATTTTTTTTTGTGTTATGACCGCTTTGTTTACCTCGTACTGTGGATTTGGTCTAAGAATTCATAAAAGGGGGGAAAATGTGTAGATTTGGTATGTAAATTAAAGAATACAATGTCCTGGTTAATTCATTTGACTTTGCGTGCCCCTTCAACCCATGGCACATCTTTGACCAAGTTCCTCAGTGTCGTTTTCCTGGAACTTTTCCTGTGTCCACAATGGGGACTTCCAAATCAAGTCATGGTATTGTTTCACGGTGTATAAGAGGAAGTTCTTCATATAGATACGCAGAAGTGCAGTGCATTTTGCGTGTCACTTACCTGGTTTTACAAGTTGTTGCACGTACGTACCGAAGATTCAGGATGTTTACATTGAGCGACCGTGCTGGGCAGGGAAAAAAACGCGTTAGCGTGACTTTGCGTTCTTGCAGAAGCGTCGTGCAGAGGCCAAGTCTGTATGCATGATAGGTTGTCTACCTTTTTATTTTTGTATGTCAATATATCCCTTCATTGTTTTTCTACAATTTTCTTACTTAGGTAAATTTTCAGTCCTTACAATTAAAAAAATTAGATTTTCTGTCCTCATGCATGTGGTCATAGTACATCAAGGCGCCTTCAAATTTTCACATTATTCTTCCTTCCATTAAGTAAAGAATGTCAAAATTTTTACAATTAAAAACGAATTATCGTTAACCGTAATCTCGCACTCAAGCCTTTCCTCATGTATTGTATCAATACTCGGTTACCGACAGGGCAAGTATGGCGTCCTAAGTCAGCTTCTGAAACGAATCAAAACACTATTATATATTATTTATTTTAATGCAGTATTTTTTCCACATTCACAAGTCCCCGGTCTGCTTCCAACAAGTCTAGGTTCTCCCCAAGCTCGGTACATCAGGCTGCTACTCCCACACAACGCCTCCACGAGGGTACCTTTACTACAGTCACACAAACTAACATTACACATTTTTAGTAGTTTATTTTTTTCGTCTTTTTGAATGTCATTGCGAAAAAAAAATCTCGGCAGATTTGCGATAGGAATGGTTAAATTTCCTGGTTATTATAGCCAAGTACTTAGATTTCTCGCTTGAAAATTTATCGGTTCTAAGCATCAATTTTAATTACTTTCGCGAATTTATTTTGAAATAGATGTTCATTCTTCTCTCTAGAGTTCATTTATTTTAATACGAGGTTTTACAATGTACATGATAAAAATATTTGTTCCCAGCGTTATGAGTAAATAGTTTGTCAATCAAAAAACCAATTTGTAGGTTCACTATAAGTTTCGAAATTTATGAATCTTTAATTTCTTGTCCTTATTTTGCACCAATAAACTCGTTTTTCGACTCGATTGGCCATCGTTTTCAATGAATAATTTCACAAAAATTGTGGATAAGACGTGTCGTAGAATCCGACCTAAAATGTATAGCAATGTAACGGAAATCAAAACTCAACAGCGTTTACCTTCANGAACCTGTCTCTTATACACATCTAGATGTGTATAAGAGACAGAGGCTAGCTAGCATGGTGCGCGCGACCACCATCACATGCATTAGAACATTGCATTATTTTTCATCTGACTTTGCAAGACGCGGAGCATTCTTATATGCATTCGTTGGACGTCATTTTATTTTTGCAACACGCAGCGCAACTTTTGACCCTTGCATGGCGCGGTCCAAAATAGGCTCTGCATTGTACGCCGCATGACTTCAACTTGAGCCCGTTGCATGCATGACGTCTTTGACGGTAAAGCGTTCGCCGCCCATCCTCATAAATTGGAATCAATTTATGTTTGATCTTTTAACACAGGACAGCATGCGTGCCTGTCGCGACGCGTGCCCTTGGAGACGTAGGAAGTGTTCTGTAGTGCGATCGATCAACTTCATGCATTTCTGAGCACATCGCTTGCGATTTAACCGTAAAATGAGATCATTAATAACGGTTTTGTCACGGTCATTCCAGTGTACAAGAAAACTTATAATCATGGAGAATCAGTTCATAACTTAACTTTTATTGCAATGCACTTCTCAAATTGTTAAATTAAAGGGATTCGAAAGTTCTTATATATATGCAAGTATTTCTTTAGCAATCAGATTTATTTTAATTATTCGTTTTTTAAATATTAGTGTTTTACTCGCTGAAAAATAATTATTTTGTTTTTATTCGTGACGAATTACACGTTGTG